GAGGATTGACAGAAGAAAAGAGGAGGGCAGAGTGCAGACCACCTGAGGGAGGAAATGCATAAGAGGTTTAAGTCATTTTTGTTCTGTCATTTTCTAATTGCTGCATAAATCGAGCTTATTTCTTTTTCATTTTATGCTTGCTTTTACTAAAACAATTTTAAAATTGGATTGAGGCAATCTATGAGTTTTACAATTATTCTTCACTCACCTAGACACCGCATTGTCGTTCCCGTCCCCCCCCACCCCCGCAAGGTTAACACAGAGATCAATCTCTCTTTTTTTAGCAAAAAAGGTAGACCTTGGCTCTTTGAATAATATGCATTAATTTAATAGAGACAGAATTTCAGAGCTGACAATGACCTTACACTCCTACTCTTCCAAAATTCATAAATAGTTGCTGATTTAGATGAATTAGAGTCGACCTTCCTTAGTCACAGTTTTGCTTTCCACCGTTTCAGTTACCCGTGGTTAACCACGGTCTGGAAATATTAAATGGAAAATTCCAGAAATAAATAATTCATAAGTTTTAAATTGTGGGCCATTCTGAGTAGTGTGATGAAATCTGCTGCAGGTGGGCTCCCTCATGTTGAGGATGTGAATCACCACTCCATCCAGTGTATCCACACTGTATTCGCTACCCACCGGTTGATTTGTCATCAGATCAACTGTCACAGTGTCACAGTGCTTGTAGCCCTTATTTTACTTAATAATGGCCACAAACTGCAAGAGTAGTGATGCTGGCAATTCAGATATGCCAAAGGGAAGATGTAAAGTGCTTTCTGTAAGTGAAAAGTGAAAGGAAAGAAAAAAGTCTTATGCTGAGGCTGATAAGATCAACGGTAAGGACAAACCTTCTAACCGTGAAATTGCCTAATTTATAAACTTTATCATAGATATGTATGTATAGGAAAAAAGATAACATATGTAGGGTTCAGTACTATCTATGGTTTCGGTCATCCCCTAGGGGGGCTTGGAACATAACCTCTGCAGATAAGGGGGGACTACTGTACAAAAAAGTACAGATAGAATTGTTTGAAAGAACACCCTGATATTGACCCCAAACCTGTTTTTCTAGGATTTTTGCTCATTTAGTTAATTTTTTTTAGCTAACTCTTTGAAGCTATGGAGAGAGTCCAATTCTTTTTCCAACTGATTGTCTTTCAAATATGTGAAGTTAGCCATCATGTTTCACTCACTCCAAGTCCCCCATCTAAGTAAAACATCTTCAATTCTTTACACAAAAGCTCACTTACACTAGTCCCTAGAATCTTCTCCAACCTGAAGACTTTACACTCAACAGGATTTATTTAGTAAATACATGTTTACAAATACAATTTTCTGATTATAGAAGTAAATATTTATTGTAGACATTTTGAAAAGTCAGAAAAACAATATTTAATGTGAAGATTAAATAAAGTAATACATGTAAAACACTTAGCGCGATGCTTGGCCCATGGTACCACTCAATATGTTAGCTGTTACAAAAAATGGACAAGGTTATTTCCCTACCGTTCACATACAAGTATTCTTTCTTTATATATAATTTTATTTTTTAAAGTTTAAGGTTCACTACAAAATTGAGTGGAAGGTACAGAGATTTCCTATATACCCCACCCTACATATGCATAAGCCTCCCCCATTGCCAACATCCTCCACTAGAGTGGTACATTTGTTACAGCTGATGAACTTACATTGACACGGCATTATCAACCAAATTTATATTTTACATTAGAATTCCTTTTTGGTGTCCACATTCTTTGAATTTTGACGAGTTCATACGGACATACCCACCACTGCAGTCTCATACAAGATAGTTTCACAGCCCTAAAAATCCTCTCTGCTCCTCCCATTCATACTTGCCTCCCCACTAACTTGGCAACCACTGATATTTGAACTGTTTCCATGGTTCTATCTTTGCCAGAATGTCACGTAGTAGGAATCATACAGCGTGTATTCTTTCAGACTGGCTTCTTTCACTTAGCAATGCACATTTAAGATACATACGTTTTTATGGTTTGATAGCTCATTTCTTTTTGTGTTAAATAATATTCAATCGCCTGGTTGTACTTATTTATTTATCTGTTCATCTACTGAAGGGCATCTTGGTTACTTCTAAAGTTTGGCAGTTATAAATAAAGCTGCTATAAACATCTGTGTGCAGGTTCTTTGTGGACATATTTTTTCAACACGACTGGGTAAATACTAAGGAATGTGATTGCTGGATCATATTGTAAGAATATGTTTTGGAATAAACCACCAAAATGTTTTCCAAAGTGGCTATACTAGTTTGCATTCTCACCAGCAACAAATGAGAGTTCCTGTTGCTACACACCCTCACCATCATGTCATGTTGTCAGTGTTTTGAAATTTCACCATTCTAATAGGCGTGTAGTGGAATCTCATTATTGCTTTAATTTACAATTCTCTAACGACATATGATGGATATTAAATATTTTTATATGCCTATTTCCCATCTATATATCTTCTTTGGTGAGGTGTCTGTTGAGGGTTTTTTGCCCTTTCTTAACTGGGTTGTTCATTTTCTTATTGTTCTTATAGTTTCTTACTGTTATCATTTTAAGAAATCTTTTATATTTTGAATAACAGTCCTTTGTCAGATATGCATTTTGCAAATAATTTCCCCTACTTGTGGCTTGATTTTTCATTCTCTTGACAGTGTCTTTCACAAAGTAGAAGTTTTTAAAGTTATGAAGTCCAGCTTATTGTTGATGATTTATTTCATGGATCATGCCATTGGTGTTTTAATCTAAAAAGTCATCATCCTACTCAAAGTCATCTAGATTTTATTCTATATTATCTCCTAAGAGTTTTACAGTTTTACATTTGAGATTTAGGTTTATAATCCATTTTGAGTTAATTTTTGTGAAGTGTGTAACTTCTGTGTCTAAATTCTATGGATGTTCAGTTGTTCCAGCATAATTTGTTAAAAAGACTCTCTTCTCCATTGTATTGCCTTTACTCCTTTGTCAAAGATCAGTTTACTATATTTATGTGGGTCTATTTCTGTGCTCTCTTTTCTGTTCCATTGATCTGTTTATCTTTTTAAAAAAATCTATACCACACTCTCTTGATAACTGTAGCTTTATAGTAAGTCTTGAAGTCAGATAGTGTCAGTCTGATTTTGTTCTTCAATATTGTGTTGGCTGTTCTGGGTCTTTTGCCTGTCTTTATAAATCATAGAATCAGTTTGTCCATATCCATAAAACAACTTGCTGGGATTTTGATTGGGATTGTATTGAATCTATAGATCGAGTTGGCAAAAGCTGACATCTTGACCGTATTAAAAGTCTTCTTATCGATGAACATAAACTATTTCTCCATTTATCTAGTTTTTCTTTGATTTCTTTTATCAGAGTTTTGTAGTTTTCCTCATGAAGATTACATAAATATTTATGCCTAAGTATGTCATTTTGGAAGGCTTTGCCCAGTTTTAATTTGGTGTTGTATGTATGTGTGTGTGTGTGTGTGTGTGTGTGTGTGTGCGCATACGCATGCGCACGTATGTGTGTGCAGAGTTGTAAGAGTACCTTATATGTTCTGGATATGAATCCCTTGTCAGATATACGATTTTCAAATATTTCCTCCCATTCCATGAGTTATCTTTTCTCTTCCTTGATACTGTCCTCATATGAATTACAAAAGTTTTTAATTTTAATGAAGTAACATATATTTATTTATTTGTCGTTGCTTAGGCTTTTAGTGTCAACAATAACATTATTTTTTATGGCTACATAGTATTCCTGATAGCTTTACTTTTTCCCTTTTCTTTTGAAAAGATTTCAAGCTTACAGAAAATTTACAAGAATAATACAAAGAACGCTTATATACCCTTCACCAAAACCCTTTTAATAAAAATATCCAAAAGAAGATACTGCCTTTCACCCAGTTGTCGTGTTTCTTTAATCTCCTTCAATGTGAAACAAAGATCTTGACAATTTTGAGATTACGGGCCAGTCATTTTGTAGAATGTCTCTCCATTTGTGTTTGTCTAGTGTTTTCTCATGATTACACTGAGGTTACATGTCATAGGCCAGAATATCACAAAAGTGATGCTGTGTGCCTGCAATATCTTATGTGTGGCACATGATGTTGATTTGTCATATTAATTTTTTTTACTAGGAATCTGTAAGTACATATTTATATTACAAAATAAATAAATGAGAAAAGTTTTTCTTCTCATTTATTTATTTTGTAATATAAATATGTACTCACAGATTCCTAATTTATTCAGTGGGTCATAATCTGTTACTATCAATAGTTACTTTGATGCTCATCACCCCAGATTTGGCCAGCAGGACCCCTTTCGAGCTGGGTTCTATGTCCATTGATACATCCCTATAATTGGGTGTTTTCTTTCTTTCTGGTACAAGATATTCTAGGGTTAACTTAAGTTTTCTAAGCCCAAGCCTTAGAATCAGCCATTTCTCAAAGAAGTTCTGTTTGTTTGTTTGTTTGTTTGTTTGTTTGTTTTTGGTGTCGGTGGTGGTGGTGGTGGAGAATCGTAATTAGAAACCAAGATCTGGGTGCTAGGAATGACTCGTTGCTACTTCAGTGCTACTATCCAAAGTCTCTCATTAACAGGGTTGGGAAAT